GCTTCGGATTGGTGCAGCTCCAGCCATTGCGGCTACTTGGGGAGTGAATCATCAGATAGAAGATCTTCCTCTCTGTCTCTTCTCTCTGTATATCTTTCTAAGTAAAAATTTTTAAAAGTCTTTAAAAAAATTATTTTGAACTTTAAGTTATAACTTGTTCTGGGAATACTAATTACCCAGCTACTTAATTGATTACAGTGACTTTAAATATTCCTTTTGATCTAATCTAAGAACAATTTACTTTTTCATTTTCTTATAAAATATTTCTACCATGAGTGAATCTTTACAGATTCATCACAGTAGTTTTTCCAGTAGTTTTATAATAAAACTGTGATATCCCCTAAATAAATTATAGCACCTTAGTGCCTTTACTTGTTGCTTTTTGTGCATAGCTTGTTCCAGCTTGTTTCTGTGCGTCAGCCTGCGAGTTATTAAACTGCGTGTCATTCCTAACTCGGGAATTGCTGTGGAGGCAAAGCAGCATTCTTTCTCTGCTGTGGTTGATAAGGCCAGGTGACCACCAGAAGATAAAGAATAGGCTTAGTAAAAATGCCTACAAATTGTAAGCTATGTCCTCTAGATAGGCATCAAGTCACCGGGCAGGTTGGGCCGTTCGGTCCTGGTGCCTGGAGTCAGCGGGTGGAGATAAACAGAGCTCACATTCCTGAGCAGCTGCTGGAGTCCTGCAGGGGTCTCTTCCCTTCTGGCCTCTTGACCCAGGTCAGCAAAGCTCTTTTCAGGCTATGTGCTATGACTTCTCTTCAGCATCGTAAGCTCCAAGAGGACGGGTTGGGGGGGTTTGGGGGGGAACCTGGCTGGCATGACCTGGTCCTAATCCCCAGGATCAACATGGCACCGTTAACCTGGCAAGGAGGAAGAGCTGCAGTGATATTTGTTAATGAATGAGCAATAAATGAATGAGTAAAATTTGCATGTGTGCACACTTAGACTGGATACACGCAAGGGACTGTGTATGTTCTCTGTGGCTGTGACAGATAAACACTAAAGACATGATTCTTTTCCCCTCTCTGTGCCACTAGGGGAAGGGCCCGATGAGCCTCCTTGGACCACTCTAACTCCCTAAGAAGGTCACTTTCAATGTCACCTTATGCCAAAAGCACAAATCGCACTCTACACACATTGAAGGATGATGTCATTTTTTGCTGAAGGTTTCCAGGGAGACTGCGGGCGGTTTATGCAATGCACAAAACTTGTATCTTTTAAATATCTTTTTTTTTTTTTGAAGCATTTTCCCCTGAACTTTCTCACTTGAATCCTTTGTGTTTCCTCTCCAGTCTGTCCAGGCACTCTGTCTTTATCACTTACTCTCTTCCACCTCCTCCTCTTTATCCCCGGGATCTTCTCCTTTAGGTCTCTTTTCCTTTCTTCTGTGGAACAAGAAGCTCTCTTTTGAGCTCCTTCAGTTTGCATCTTCCCCTTTACTCTAGGCACTTTTCTTCAGCATACAGGAGGAATGGAATATGGAAGGGAGGAAGGAATGGCAAAGAGCTAATTATTTTTCTTTTTTTTTCATATTTCTTCTGCTCGAAATTGCTTGGGGCTGGGAATTATCTGAGTATGCAACACAGGAGAAAATACACCTGCACCCAGGGCCCTGCAGGGACAGGCCTTTGTAGCTACACAGATTGTCTTCTGGGGCACTAAAAGGATTAAGAGGTTTGCCTTGTATTACGTCAGTGCCCAAATGGTGAGTGGTATGTCATTGCCATCTCAATGTGTGAAGGCTTCTCTGTGTAATTTCTGAACAAATACATTGCAACTGTCCTTTGTATGATTTGTAACTCAAGTAAAGGTCTCTCCTTTAAGACATCTTTCATCGTTTTTCAGAACCCTTTTCTGTTAAACATTATATATTGCTGGGGCAGTCATTTGGTGCCGCAGTGAAGTCAGTGTTTGGGATGGCTGCATCCTGGGTTGGAGTACCTTGTTTTAGTCCCAGCTACTCTGCTTCTGATCTGGCTTCCCTCTGGTGCACATCTTGCAAGGCTGCAGGTGATAGCTCCCTGCCACCTTCTTGGGAGAGCCAGACTGCATTCCAGGCTCCTGGCTTTAGCATGGTCTAGTCCTGGCTGTTGCAGACATTTGGGGAGTGAGCTGGCACATGTAAGCTCCTGGGACCAGTGTGGTAGCCTCATGGCTAAAGTCCTCAGCTTGCACGCACCAGGATCCCCTGTGAGTGCCGGCTTGTGTCCTTGCTGCCCCACTTCCCTTCTAGCTCCCTGCTTGAGGCCTGAGAAAGCAGTGGAAGATGAGTCAAGTCATTGGGATTCTGGACATCCATGTGAGAGACCAGAGAAAGCTCCTGGCTCCTGGCTTCTGATTGGCTCCGCTCCTACCTTTGCAGCCATTTGGAGGGGAGAGCCAACAGAAGGAAGATCTCTGTTTCTTTTTCTTTGTATATCTGCCTTTCAAATAAAAAACCAATCTTAAAAAACATAATCCAGAAACTTTGAAAAGAGAATCTTGTATTCCCAGTATTCACAAAACTATATTTTAAAAGCCCCAAACAAAATGCAATTCAGTTCAGTATAGTTCTGAGTATATTTTAGATCTGTCTCTCTCTCTCTCAAATATGAATTTTTAACTGATTATGAAAGTTATAATGGGGCAGATGTTGTGGTTCAGTGGAGCATACCACCACTTGGAATGCCTACAATTCATATTTTGAGTGCCTTTTTGCATTTGGTTGTCTTATCTTTTTAACATCCTGAACTTAATGTTACAGTATGTCCTGTATTTTATACTAATTACCTCGTCCTAAAATACGAACACTAAGGACAGTAATTCTGTGTCATTACTGTTGTTCTTCAATTCTTACAGTGCTCCCGGCAAGCAGATAGTGTAGTTGACAGATACAAAGCACGATCTTTCCTTGAAGCAATTCTCAAAAAAAGGAGCATTGCTTCTTACCTAAATTCTTGACCTCTCTGAATGATGGTACATTCTCTCAATTGCTAAATTTAGAGGCAAGAGGTACTATTCACGGCATGTATATTAGCCCCAAAGGGCTTCATTAGATGCTTGGGTGCTTGCAGAAATTATTTGTTTGATTCAGGGAAGGTGGAATGCGGAAACTTTTTAAAACATTAAGTCTGTATTTTGGGGACTGTGACCTCACAGTAGTGAAGGCTAGATGTCCTTGTAAATAGGCTTTTTAAACTATACAAGGGAGAAAGGAGATGGAGATTGAAGGACAGGGCTTATCACCAAGTTTATGGTAAAGAACAATCCAACTCTTCAGGGCAGGCAGTGGAGCCCCATCCGAGTCCACACGCTGCATGCTGCAGTAACCCAATCCTCACCTTCCAAATGACCAAGCTTGGAGGAACAGCTCTTCCTAGGGGTGTTATTGTAACTGTAAACTCCAGGAGAGCAAGAGCCAGTTTTTGTTCACCATTGTCTTTCCAACACCTAGCACAGGTCATTTGACCATCCAACTTGATGAAGATCATTCAACTCTGCCACCTGGCATCAAATGCCTGTCCAGGTTAAGAGCTAGATTATTTATAAATCCTCATTTCCAGATGAGGACAAACTAGTTAGCAGTGACTGACAGTTGCTTTCTGTTTCTCTGCATAGCTCTTCCTTTTCACTTCTATTTGCTATTTTTCTTATAATTTTCTTCCCAGCTTTGTTGGTCACTGGTGTGTGGGTCCTTTGTAGGTTTCCAAGTTCTCCTCCAGGAGGAGGGCCTTTCTGGGTTCAGTTTCCAGTATTTGTACTTTACCTAGAGAAGGATCATTGAACTCGGGGCAAGAGGTTCTTTATGAAAACGTGGAGAACAAGTGTTGTTTCTCTGTATCTTGTTCCAGTTCTGCAGCACTTGTTCTTCATTTTGTAAAGATCAAAGTCATTTGGGGTTATCAGGAAGCTGTGCCAGTTATGTGGCAGGAACCACCAGCTCCTTGGAGTGTGCAATTCAAACTGAGTTGACAGATCTAAGGATCTGATGTTCCTTGTAGCATGTACATCTTGCATGTAGCTTGCTGAGAGAAAGCAATTGTGAGAAACTGGGTCTTTGGTTCTTTTTTATTTTTTTCTTAAGATTTATTTATTTTTATTGCAAAGTCAGATATATAGAGAGGAGGAGAGGCAAAGAGAAAGATCTTCTGTCTGGTGATTCACTTCCCAAGTGACCACAACAGCCGGTGCTGTGCTGATCCGAAGCTAGGAGCCAGGAGCCTCTTCTGGGTCTCCCATGTGGATGCAGGGTCCCAAGGCTTTGGGCTGTCCTCGACTGCTCTCCCAGGCCACAAGCAGGGAGCTGGATGGTAAGTGGAGACGCTGGGATTAAAACTAACAAGCATATGGGATCCCGTCACTTTCAAGGCAAGGACTTTAGCTGCTAGGCTGCCACGCCAGGCCTAGAAACTGGATCTTAACCAGAAAAGTCCCAAGCTCTACTGCTTGCTTCCTATCCACAAGCCCAACTCAGTTCCAATCTTACAGATCCCTTCATTCTCTAAATGACCAATCACATCTTCTTTCTCTTTGTAGATTCTCTCTTTGTAGCTTATCTTGGTCACTAAGTTGAATAGAATCCTTGCTTTTAAAATTTTTTATACTAATCATCATCCAACATAGTATTATGTTTGTTCACGTAGTTTATTGTCTGTCGCTCCTCACATGCTCTATGAATTGCAAACATTTTTGTTTAATTCACTCTTACAGTCTTGGTGCTTGAAATAGTGTCCAGCACATAGTAGACACTTGATAAATATTGAATAAATTCATGTTTCCCAATCTAAGAAGTAAAAAATATTCAAGAATAATTATGAAATGTGAGAGCTTAACTTCATTTCAGATTGCTCGGCAAAATTATTGAAAGCCTTAAAGCATTCTTTTAGAAGGGACCACAGGCAAATTGAGATACTACTACTAAATAACAGAGGGAGACAAATAATATGTAGCCACATATCACAGGCTTGGCTGGGCCTTGTTTGATATAAATAAGTACTCATCAGCCATAACTATGGAACTGAACTTAAGTATGTTTTTGTTTAATTTGTACACAAAGACTGATGTACAAGTGCAAAAAATAAATCCTCCTTTGCAGGCCAGAACTCACTGAGCAGTGTGAGTTTTGACACACAAGCAGCAATAGGAAAAAAAAATGTGGAAGTCTAAGAAAGCGCATGCTTGCAGACATCTCCATAGCTGGACTGCTAGATTAGCTTTAAATGTTTTTAATTTACTTACCTTCATTATTGCTTGAAAGCACACCCACCCACCCACACATACACAAAAAAGGAGAGGGAGGGAAGGAAGATCTTCCATTTGTTGGTTTACTCCCCAATTGCTTGCAGTGGTATATCATCCAGAGCTGTTGCAGGCCAAAGCCAGAAGACTCAACTTGAGTCTCCCACATGAGTGGTAGGGACCCAAGTATTATTAGCAAGAAGCTAGATTGGAAACTGAGCTGAAACTTGAGCTGGCACTCCATATGGAATGAATGTGCTCTAAATAGTGTTTTAACTACTGTGTAAGCCAAACCCACGCTGTTTGGTTAGTTTTGAACTGAGAATGAATACCATATTTTTAGTCTTGGAATCATTTAAGCATGAATCTTTCCTAAATTCTTCTTGATAACTGGTTGTGTTTTGAAAAAATTAATCAACCTAGCAAAAGCTGAAGATATTTCCTTGAATGCAAAGTTTATGTATATATATATAAAAAAATATATATATCTGATTTTATGATGTATTTATTTTTATTTGAAAGAGTTACAGAGTGAGAAGGAGGGTCATATGGAGAGATCTTCCATCTGCTGGTTCATTTCTCCAAATGATCACAATGGTTAAAGCTGGGCTGGTCCAAAACCCTGAGCCAGGGATTCCTTCCAGGTCTCCCACGTAGGCACAGGGGCCCGAGAATTTGAGTCATTTTCTCTTGCTTTCCCAGGGCATTATCAAGGAGCTGGATCAGAAGTGGAGCAACTAGGACTCAAACAATTATCCATATGGGAAGTCAGCACCACAGGTGAAGGCTACGCAATGGTGCCAGCCTCACAATTATTTCTAATTTTATTCTAGTCCTTTAATTTTCTGGGCATGATAGCTCCTTATATGCATTTTATACCCATTTAATATAGAATATTCTTTGAACGCAAATATACATATTTTCAGCATTATATTATTTGAAATACCTGGTACAGTTCTCATCAGATAGTTAAGTTTTTATTGTTACCATAGGTGCTTTACGAACAAAATCATCAGACTTCTGAAATTTCTTACATTATAACCAAGTAGCATCTTTGAAACTATGCATGATTGCTTTTGAAAAAAAATTACTTCAAAGGCAGAGTTGGGGAAAGACAGAGAAAGAGATATCATCCATTTGTGGGTTCATTTCCAAAGTGGTTGGCCTCAGTGCAGGGCTGAGACTGGGCCAGAAAAAAAACAGGAGCCAGGAACTCCATCCTGGTCTCCCAAGTGGGTGGCAGGAACTTGAGTACTTAGCCCATCTTGTCCCTAGACACACTGACAGGAAGCTGAATCAGAAATGGAGCAGCTAGGACATGAACTGGTGTTCAAATAGGATGTTGGCAAACGAAATGGTGACTTAACCTGATGTGATAGACACAACAGGTTTTTAATATATTATTTTTATATTGGAAAGACAGACAAACAGAGAAGAAGAGACGGAGAGGAAGACCCTACACCCACCAAGGGTTTTACTCCCCAAGTAGCTGAAAAGCTGGAACTGAACTGATTTGAAGTCAGAAACGGGGTCTCCCACGTGGATGCAAGGTCTCAAAGACTTGGGTCATTCTCTGCTGCTTTCCCAGGCCACCAACAGGGTGCTGGATGCAAAGTGGAGCAGCGGGGACATGAACCAGTGCCCGTATGGGGTCCCAGTGCTTGGGGAGGTAGAGGATTTAGCCACTAAGCTATCATCTTGGGCCCCAGAGTTTTGTTTGTTTTGTTTTGTTTTTAAGGATAAGTGTATTTATTTATTCATTGAAGAGGCAGAATTGCAAGTAGAAAAGGAGATCCTCTACCCACTGGTTTGTGTTCCAAATGACCATAACAGCGGAGGCTGGGATGTGCTGAACTCAGGAGTCAGGAGCTTCTTCTGGGTCTCCCATGTGGGTGCAATGGCCAGAGCACTTGGGCCATCCTTCACAGCTTTCCCAAGTACATTGGCAGGGAGCTGAATCGAAAGTGGAGCAGTTGGGACATGAACCATCATTAATATAAAATACTGGTATTGCAGAAATTGGTCTAACCTACTGTGCCACAGAGCTGGCCTCTGCACAGATTTAAAAAAAAATAATAAATATCTAGTTAACCTCATGTGGACAAAGGTTCAATATCCTTTTTTTCTTCTTTTTTTCTTTTTCTTCCCCCGTGGTGGACTGTATTCAAGGGGATACATTTTGGAAATGAAGCAGAAATTAATATGTTCATAGCCAGGAACAGAGAGAAATATGTCCTCATGCATACACTGCAAAGGATGGACTCACAACAAAATGACTGACAGTCTCCTGTGTTGTCGGGAAACACCCCAAAGCAGCATGACGGACTTGCGAACATTGTGAAAGACGCCCATTGTAAGACTGGAGGGAGAGGTGGGGGGAGGGGATGGTATTGGTGAAGGGGGAAGGGAGACCCCAGTGCCAACTAAACCGTATCAAAAAAACAGTAACAAAAATAATAAAATAATAAAGAACATTTCTAGCCTTAGTCAAAGTTACTTAACCTCTCCAAGCCTAAGCCTAAACTAAGCAGGAGTAGCCATTCTTACTTGACAGTACTTGTTGGTGAGACAATTTTTTTAAAATAATATAAATTTTCTAGTGTGATATCAGATATGTGACAACATTTTAATAAATTGCGGAGTATCCAGGCATGAAAACGGTGAGTTTTCAAGGTGACCCAAAACCAAGTTCATTGCTTCCTTAAGGAATGTACTACTTATTTGTTAACCATATTTATTATTTTTTCAAAGGAGAACCATGACACAAAACCCGTAAGAATCTTTTCTTTAATTGGCTGCACTGAGCTACAGTTTGCATGCAAAAACAATGAACAATTTTCAGTGCGTCATTTTTCATAAAAACATACCATATCTATGATCGTGAACACTTTGTACTTTTTTGAAGTCAGTTCCCACCTTCCATCCCAGGTTCAACAGCCACTGATTTGTTTTTTGAGAAAGGTATTTTTTTAGTTTATTAGACAAATATTTATGAAGGCCTTCCATTTGAGTTAGGCACCTAACCGAATACAGAATTTCATGTGACTCAGTTTGTGTCCTTAAATAGCTACGCATCTAGTCCAGTTTTCACTTAATTTAGAGATTACTCTGGCTACACTAGAGATTGAATTTTAATGTAAATTACGTCCACTAAAGGATGAAAGAATAGTGCAAATGTTTCCAGGACTTTCTGAACACCAAATGAAATCATGTACTTTGTGAATGCCACTAATGGTAATTTCTTTCCAAAGGCACACATTCATGATTTCAGGATGTTCCAATTTTTTTAAAAATCAACTCTTGAAAGCTGTCTCACACATACACACACACACACACACACACACAGAGTAAAAGGAAGTACAGACCTTGATCTTTCCAAGTTATTTAAAGTCATCTAGACCAGCTGAGCAATAAAGTAAACAAAAGCAAACACCCAAGGCTTTTGGTTAAGATAATTACATCATTGAAAGAGAGAAAAAAGATAAAAGAATAATGTTCTGAAAAAGCTCACAAAGGATGGTGGGGATAAGTAGTGAGAAAACTGATGGCACATTAATATTCATGAGGAAATGCCCTGAAGATCCATGAATATGAAGTGATTATTATGCAGGAGCAGGTTTTTCTTTCATCAGGACAGAAAGACACAAAATTATTATAGTGATCGGCCATGTGTTTTCCCTTTGTGTCTAGATGGTGGGTCAGGCTTGTTCAGTGTTCTGTGTTACCCAGGGGAATGGCCCCAGTGGTAAGGAACGGTGGTGGTCACGAGGCATGCAGCTTTGCAGCTTTCTCTGGTTCTAATTGCGAGGGTATTTAGACCAGAGGACAATGAACAAATGGCTGGGTGGGCATTTTCTTCTGATGACAAAGAACTGAGTCTCTTCTCAGTCTGACAGTCTCTTGCATTATGCTTTACATCTGCCATTTCCAGAATATACAGAGCTGTTATTTGTAAATTCCTTGGCCATTACCATGGGGACTGTAATTAATTTCCAAAGGAGAAATAAATGCAAACTGATGATGGATATTAATATCTAGAGAAAAAAAAGGACAACCGAGAAAAACAATTGTATAAAAATGTGTACAGTGGGGTAAAAAATGTTAAAATTTTAAATATTAAAATTCAGTATGTCAGAAGAATACTGCTTTTTCTTTTATATCATGGATTAAGTTTCCTTGCAAGCTTCTACTTGTCACCTAGAAGAACGGTAAAACCGAGCTAAAACTGTAAGTTTGTCAATTCAAGTTAATAGCCCTTTTTTGTTTATTTTTAAATTTTTAAAAGAGAATTTTAAATTGTATTTTTGATGATGTTTACATAGTTGATTCAGGTGGAAAGGATAGAGGGTTAGAGGAATGTGGATAAGACCAATGTTTCCAAATTTTCTTTATCTTCTTCCTGTATCAGGGGATGGAAGAAGAGAAGTTGCACCCAACCTCCCAACCGCCTCAGCACCCAGGAATGAGGAATGGCTTCCTGATGTCATCATCCCAGGATCCCCATGTGGAGTATACTCCAAGGGTTCTGCTCGAGAAGTTTTCGATAGTTCTGAAATGCTGATCAAGGGTGAGGAAAATCTTCCAAGGTGCATTTAAAAAATACATACTTTATTGATTTATTTGAAAAGAGAGAGGAGGAGAGAGAAGCAGAGATCTTCTATCTGCTGGATTACTTCCCAGACACTGAGCCAGGCTGAAGCTAGGAGCTGAGAGCTTAATCCAGGTCCCCCACATGGATAGCATTAATGGGAGTGTTTGTATCACCTGCTGTCTCCTAAAGCATGTATTAGCAGAAGGTGGACTTTGAAATAGAATCGGGACTCAAACCAAGCACTCTGGTATGGGATTGTCAGTGTTCCAAACAGGGTCTTAATCAAATGCTTGCCCGAGTACTTTTTAAAAAGGG